GATAGATCTAACATAAAAGTACTTTTATGTTACAGTTCACGTGCTTACTATTTTAAAGTTTTATGAAATAAAACCTCGTTGTGATATCCCAGGGATCCTTGTAGTTGTCTCGGGCTTTCTAAGCAGAGAGACTATTTTTGCAAGAGTCTACTCGTTCTTTTTGCATTAAAATATTAGTTTTTTTATTTGTTTTGTGAAAAAAATAGTCAATGATTAAACACGATTGCTTATCAACACTCATACTTGACAATAAAAAGCGACCTCGTTTTATATTCGAAGTTTCCTTAAAAAGTTGAATCGTTCAAAAATTTGAAAATGTGTAGCCCGCATGTTACCAAAAATTTAAGACAAAAAATGATTTTAAACACATTAATTATTTTTATTTTTTGTCAAGTTTTATATTTTTGTAAACTAAAAAATGAAACAAAAAAAGTTGTATTCATAGAATGGCTTACTACCGCCAACTTTTATAACTTCATTGTAGGTGGTAATTTAACATACAAATTTTTTATAATGCAAAAAAAGTTAAGCATAACTTTTAGATTACCGTGGATTTATCGGATTGTCAAAAAAATGATTTTTCAGTAGTAGTAAAAGTTACAATTATCAAAAAATGATGGAATATCATTATATATTGGGGGAATTTGTTCCTTTTTCAGAAAATATTAAACTTTTTTTCCTAAAACACGAAAATCCCAAAATAACCCAAAAAGCCCTCATGTTACCTTTTGCTACTTGCGCATGCATATATATCTTACTACAGCTCACATATTACAATTTTAACAAATTTTTTTGTTAAATACACATTTTCTTAATATATTTTCATTTAAATAAGTTTCAAAACATATCGGCTTTAACTTTTGTCTCACTAAAAACAACATTTTAAATTTTCACGGCTTACTAGCCGTTCATAGAGATTATAGTAGTAGTAGTAGTAGTAGTAGTAGTAGTAGTAGTAGTAGTAGTAGTAGTAGTAGTAGTAGTAGTAGTAGTAGTAGTAATAGTAGTAGTGGCAGTAGTAGAATAACTAACCAATCCTTTTGCTTATATTATATTACACGCCTTATAAATTTTAAAAATCGTCTCACTCACTCTAAGCCTCTCTTATTTATCATGAATATTCTTAATATATATCAATTAAATATTTTTATTGTTCTTTGCTTTAAGTTTAAATGTAAAACCAACTTACCTCAAGCTTCCTTTCTTGATTTATATTCTTAAAAAGCAAAAAATAAATATTCTTTAAAAAATGATAATTTTATTAAGCAATCAGTTTTCCAAACAAACTTCGATAAATCTTGCATTTCTTTTCATGGAGCTTTTTTATGGAGCCAAACCATTTTAAAAAATTTTGATTTTTCTCATAAATGAAAGTATTATTTGTTAAAAAAAAGAACAAACTAAAAGATGTAATTCAAAAATTGAAAATATACATATATACTTTTAAATAATACTCAGTTTCGTTTTACACAATTATATTTAAGTTTTACTCAATATAAACTTGAAATGTAAGAATTTTTTTGTTTTTTTTTATTTTAAGGCCTTATTTTTAGTAATAGTTTATTACTAAAAAATTTAGTAAATCCAGCTGATCTTCTGCGTTTCAATTAGTTTATTTTAGTAGACTTTTAATATTTACCATTTTTATATTTATTATAACTTATAATACTGTATCACGAAGTGTATATACTTTAAAAGCAATTTAAATTTGGAATGTAAAATTATAAAGACCATGTGGTCTCCTATCCGTGTTTAATTTTATTTCTTTGATAGACTTATACCATTTATTAAATTTTATTTTTATTTAAATTGATTGCATTGTATTTTTTATTTATTTTACAATTGCATTGTTATTTTTATTTAAATTGATTGCATTGTATTTTTTTTTTTTTTTTTTTTACAATTGCATTGTTATTTTTATTTAAATTGATTGCATTGTTTTTATTGGTTTGTCGAAAGCCTTTGACACTGTTAACCATAAGATACTTATAAAAAAACTAGAACTATATGGAATAAAGAATAAGAATTTACTTTGGTTTGAAGACTACCTAGCGAACAGGTCACAATCTATTATTTATAATAAAAAAGAAAAAGAAAAACATATTACATGTGGTGTGCCCCAAGGTTCAATCTTAGGGCCATTATTATTTTTATTGTATATAAATGATTTATACTTAGCATCAAATATTTTAAATGTTATATTGTTTGCAGATGACTCCAACCTTTTTTATTCCAACAAAGATATAAAAGCTCTCTTTAATATATTTAATGAAGAAGTATTCAAAATAAATGATTGGTTTACAAGAAATAGGCTTTCGTTAAATGAAGAAAAAATTAAATTTATTTTATTTTCCAAACCTAGTAAAGGTGATGATGTTCCTCTAAAATTACCCAATCTCCTAATCAATAAAACATTTATTAAAAGGGAACCAATCGTTAATTTTCTAGGAGTAATAATAGATGAAAATTTGTAATGGAAACCACATATAAAATATATAGAAAATAAAATATCAAGAAATATTTATATATTATATAAAACTAATTCATATCTTAACACCTCTTCTTTAAAAAAAATATACTTTTCATTTATTCATAGTTTTATCTCTTACTGCAATATTGTATGGGATAGTACTAACTATGGTAAGTTAAAAAAGCTTCATAGTAAGAGAAAACATGCATGCAGGATTATATTTGGTGCCAACAGAACTTTTCAATGTGAACCTCTTTTAAAGAAGCTCGGTGCCCTAAATGTCTATAAACTTAATATACACCAAGTTCTACAATTCATGTTTAAAACTAAACATGAACTCTCTCCTATTGTATTTCAGTCTTACTTTAGTGAAATCTCGCACAAGTATTCTACTAAATTTTCAATTAATAACTTTATTGTTCCAAAAACTAATTCAAAACTAAATTCTTACAAAATCCAATACCGCGGACCGTTTCTATGGAAACATTTTTCAAAATTTATCACAAAAAATAATGTTCATCACATCTCTTTGATTTAGAAAAGAATCTAAGAATCTTTAGAAAATTTAGAAAAGAATCTAAGAATCTCTTATTACAAAAAGACTTTGATTTAAAATATCTCTTTTAAAAATAATACACAAATAATATAAATTATCTAAAAAAATAGTTATTGACACTACTTCTCATTTGTTGCAATTTTAATCTAATTTAATTTTTTGTTGAAAAATTTTAATACTTTTAAATTATTGTTAATCTTTGATATAATGCGTTATATTTCAACGCTAATATTTATATTATGTTATTAGTAATTTTTTTATATTAACTGACAATTTTTTAGTGTAAATTTTATGATGGGACTTGATGGTAAGACAATTTATGTCTTCTGCTTGCTCCAGTTCTCTTATTAACACGATTTATTTCATTGTAAATTTTAATATATGACAAAACTCTTTGCTTGAAAAAAAAAAAAAATTATAAAAATATTGATAAAAAAAAATGATAATAATAAAAAAAGTCAATAACAATATATATAAAAAAAACAAGAATAATTTTTTTTTTTTAAAATAACAATAATAATAAATGAATGCATGTGTATGGATGCGTATCTTTAAATGTTTGTTATGTATTATTGTAGGTGAATTCACCTTCAATTCGAATCATCCTTTGGCAAGGGTTTGGCGTTTTTGTCGGCGGAATTGTAACTTTTGCAACTTAATTTCAAAAAACCTTCGAACAATCTGAAAGTGTATTGGGAAGCATCTCAGTACAAAACTATTTTTTATTATATTCGACGATTTAAGATTTCAGTGATTATATTTGATAAATATAGCTCAATGGTCGCAAGATGTGTTATTTAAAAAAAGATGTGTTATTTAGAAAACTGTAAAAATTTTTTATTGAAAAGTGAAAATTGTTTTTACTTTTCAGATGAGTCAGTGATTCAAAAGACTTATTCCCAGTGAACATGGATGTAAAAAAGACGTCTTTTAAACGTCTTATACACATTTTGGACCTCTTTTGAACGTCTTTTGAACGTTCAAAAGACGTCTTTTTTTGGTCCAGTGCCCACCGGGTCAGATACACCACAACTAAAGAAAAGTTTATATCAAACAAAGTTTTATTCAAACTTCTTCAACGGCGGTTCTCTGTGACAAGACTAGATGGATTTCTTTGAAAATCCGCGTTCTTTATTTTTTTTAACGATATCTTCACTTGTAGTTTCTCTTTTGTATATATTTGTAATGAATCTTAAAAATTGTAATAATGAAAATAATATATTAATATACTTTTTTTAATATTTATTTATATATAAATGAATTTTTTTATTATATATTTATAAATATATAAAAAAAAAAATTAATAACAATAACTATAAATTTTTCATGACCCTGCCCTTGGATAGTTCTGTTTGCTAAAATTTACGTCATAATTCGCAAAAATTGGTATTAAAAACAGCTCGATTGAAAGTTTCTTTTGTTAAGAGTTTATTGCAAAAAGGTTGCTACATGAAGTCAAAATTCCTGGATCCGACTCTGTAACAGAGTTAACTTATTTATCATACCTATTCATTTTTTCATTTATTTATTTTTCTACTAAAAAAAATAGAAATAGAGGTCGATAGAGGTTAGATATAATAGAGGAATAAGTTTGGAACTTATTCGTATTTTACGGACCCGAAAACGGGACAACTAGGTTTCGTAGCGAATGTAAAAGCACGCGTTATTTAAATGCCTTTCGATCTCATAAAAACACGAGTAAAACATTGATTTTCGCCTGGATCATAACCAACATGTCTACACTTATCCGGCGGAGGTGTATTTGATTCACGTGTGAATAAAACGATGAATTACATTAGCCGTTTTTAATTAATATCAACTAAGATATGCCACCCTCCCTAACCCGTGAATCATGTACACCTCCGCCCCCTTATCCCTCTAACTTCTATACTGGCCTATATGTTAAGTGCAACCAATTATTGTCATTTCTTTTAAAAAATAAGTATGTAGTTATTTGCCCCCTTCTGGTACTATCCAGTATAAAGACCAGATCATCCTGGGTAGGGAAAAAATAAAGGGCTAATTACTATTTAGCCCTGCATTGTTCAATTGTGTTACTTTTAAAGTATTATAAGGTAATCTGAAATTTGAAAGCATTGTTTATTTAAATTCTGTTTTATTATAGGTGATTAAACTGCTTAAAATGCATTACACAAGTAGGGAAGTGGATTTTGATGGCATTGAGGAATAGAATTTGCAAATGGCCCACCTCCTATTGGGAGGTGTGGGGTAGCCTAGCCACGGCTCTGACTTATGAATATGAATTAAACCATTCAACATTTCATACTTTGTTTACATGAATTTTATTTAGAAAACTTAAATAAGTTTGAATTTAAAAATATAAATCAAATACAAACTGGCATAAGAAATTTTGAAAAATTGACTCCTGAAATTGTAACATAAATTTGAATGAAGGTTATAGTAAGAGAAGGTTATTGCCAGGAGCAAAGGATTACATTAGCATAAAGATAGACACACATTTAAAAGAGAATCGTGTTATGCAATCTTTCAAAAAAATTTTCAGAAATGGATAAAAGAAGCAAAGTCTAATTATATAGTTAAGGTGGGATTAAATCGTTTGGTCTTTTAAGGTGATTTTGCAACATATTTGCAAAAGAACGTAAAATATAAATGGATTTTGCTAAAAAAAATAATTATTTGTCATTCAGGATTCTTTATTTTATATACTAACAGGAAACTTTATTTTCATTTGTCATATATTTGAGGTGGTTAAATGAAAATCTATTCCTTGAAATCAAATGTTGTGTTATATCTGCTTCACAATGCACATTTGGGTTTTGATTTTTTTTTTTTATATAATAGTATTTTGTATCTTATATCATAATGGACTTTTAATTAATAATAATTAAAATGGTTTATATTACTTTTGTTATAAAAAGTCAATCCTACTAAAACAAATTTTGAAATTTTTATATAGAAAATGATTCATTAAAACAAGACTTTACTACATATATTTTGAAAATTATATTTTCGGGTTTATCTGATTTGTATTTAAACTTATTTTTAGATTTCTTTTAATCTGAAATAAAAATATCTGAAATCAAAACAGCTGCTTTTTCTGTGTATCTAAAACCATAACACATATAAGTTATATTCTAAACAATTTGAAATTCTTGCTATCAAAGAAACTTATTTTTATCATCATTTCTCCCCTCAATCTTTCTGTTTAAAAGCTTATATAATATCAATATTTAAATGTTAATTATCTAAGTTAATATCTTTAAAGTATCACATGTAAACAATGATGCAGAGCACTAAATGGTTACTTCCCTTTCATTTGTGCTTCTAGTATTAAGACCAGATCAAGGTTGGGCGACCCGCTTTTTTCTGCTTCTCAACTTATAATTGGTCGTATCTCTCACTTGGTTGGAGGTGCACTGGTTTCTAATAATGTATTTAACTATTAATAACTTAAAATAGAGTAATTAAAAAATGCTGCCATTTTTTGTGTGAACATAACTAGTTAAAAATATTTGCTTTTTTAGGTAGTTAAGTTTAATATTTTTATATGCAGTTAATTTTAGATCAACACAAAATGTTAGAAAATTTACAAACATCTCAAAAAAGCTAATAATTGGACTATTTATTACAGACAATAGTAGCTAATCAGGAAACTTGTAAAGATTTGTAAAGATGAATTTGAAAATACTACTCTTAAATTCATATGAGCAATTTTCAAATTTTTTCCAAAATTGAGTTTATAATTTTTTCACTACTATGATACTTTAATAAAAACTTTTATTTTAAACTATCCAAAAAAAAATTCTAGAAAAAATGAGAAACTTGTTAAAAGTTAAAAAAAAGTTTATAATACTTTAAATTAGTCTATTTTTACCATTCATAAATTTGAATATCTAAATTTAAATGCCTATTGTGTTTATTAGGCTATAATTTATAAATCGTTGCTCTCGGAAAACTAAAATTTTAAACTTAACCTATTTATATAATGCACATAATATGTAAAGATTAGTAAAGTCAAAGATTATATTCCACAAAGTTTTCTTTAAATTGGTTAAAATATAATGAGCTGACCCATAGTATTTTTGTGCATAGCAGCGTTTAATAGGGTCCATTATAAAATAAAAATATATAAATTATTGCCTATTATAGAATATTTGTATATTGTTATATTATATAGTCATTTGAATGCTTTGAATTTTTTTAGTTCAAAATGTCTTTATTTATGAAGAAACTTACAATATTTTCAAGCATTCCAAAATTTTTTCGAAATTTATCTGATGCTCCTCCGCAAGTTGGTATGTAATTTATAACTAATTTATTAATATACTTAACTCATTACCTTATAAAGGTATTTTTTAGTAATTTAGTTATTACCCTGTTAGGGTAATAAAATAAAAGCAAATATTAGTCCTTCTATGTATATACATTTGTTTTTGCTAATCCGTTTATGTCAGTCAATGTATATACATCTAAAAAAAGCAATGTCTCTAAATATATATATATATATATATATATATATATATATATATATATATATATATATATATATATATATGTGTATATATATATATATTTATATATATATAAATATATATATACATACATATATATATACATATATATATATATATATATATATATATATATATATATATATATATATATATATATATATATATATATATATATATATATATATATACACAAATAGTATTGCGTACTTTGGTAAGCAATCTGACGTCATACGAAAACAGCCGGCTGCTGGGGGCTTCAGTACATACAACGACTGACATATAGCCTGACTCGCAGTGGAGTGCTGCTACATCGACTCAGGGTTTGGGATGGGGAATCAACCGTTTTATTTATCATTCTTTGTTTTTTTCTTCTTCTTTTTCAAAAAAAACGGTTTACCTTAAAGTAAGCACAAAAAGTGAGCAAATGCTTATCAAAACACGTTTTAGTAAGTATATATATATATATATATATATATATATATATATATATATATATATATATATATATATATATATATATATATATGTATATATATATATATATATATATATATATATATATATATATATATATATATATATATGTATATATATATATATATATATATATATATATATATATATATGTATATATATACATATACTTTTACCTGGTTGTCTTTAAGTTTTTACCATAAAATGTCAGCTTTAAGTTTTTTTTATTTTAAAGACCAGAAAAAATTTTTTTTTTTTTCAATTATTTGATAGACTCCCTGCCCAAATTAAACTCTTAGTCGATATAGCAGCACTCTGTTGCGAGTCAGGCTATTTGTCAGTCGATGTAGTAGCACTCCGTTGCGAATTAGGTTATGTGTCAGTCGATGTAGCAGCACTCGGTTGCGAGTTTGGCTGTAAGATAGTCGATGTAGCAACACACCGTGCATGTTTTACAGTTAAAAATAAAAAATAAAAACATTTACAATGTTTTTTATTTTTAAAAAGTAAAATAAAAACATTCAAAATATTTTTAAAAATATTTAGAATGTTTTTCAAAACATTCTAGTCTTTTAATTTGTGGTTGTGTGGTTTAATTTTGTCCTGCAATTAAATTAATGCGTTTTGACATAATGTATCCTTAATTTTGTCAGCTTTAATACTACAAACAAGCTAAGAGCTGTTTTTTTTACCACAAATTGTATATCTAAGCCATTTATTATAGGTATATATATATATATATATATATATATATATATATATATATATATATATATATATATATATATATATATATATATATATATATATATATATATATATATATATATATATATATATATATATAGAGAGAGAGAGAGAGAGAGAGTATATAGAGTGAATATATATAGAGTGCTCGCTTCATAAGCAAGAGGTTCCGAGCTCTATCCCCACCACATCCCTGGTAGTACCACGCTTAACTCGTTTCTCTGCGCAGCAGCCTTGTTTGTCAAGGTTCATCTTTCAGAGTTATAGAGTTGAGAGAAGGTTATAACCACAAATAAGTAGCCTCCTCGTCTGTAGTGTCATTTTGGCCTTGAGGAGGTGAATTAACAACAACAACAACAACAAAATGCATTAATTTAATTGCATTATATATATATAATTCTAAGGGCTGCATGACCTGTTTTAAAAAAAGTATTACTTAGTATACACTGTATTTCTAATTTCCTATCACTGCATGGTATAAAATTGTGACACATTTTATACCATGTGGTATTGCCAGACCACAATTTATTTGTCTACTATGTATCTTCGCACATAAAAAAAAAGTTCCTAAAATTTGACTGTCTAAATATATTTAAATATTATCATTTTTTTCCATCATTATAAATATGTGTTCTTTTAAATTTGGTAGACTCTTGCTATATGAGGGAGACTTTATATATATGGTATTGGTTGTCAAGAATAGCATTTTTTATATATTTAGTTATATTCTGTCAATCATTATCTTGCTCTACAATCTTAATCTCTTCTCTTCCAGTAACTTCCAACTCTAACAGTGGTTGCTTGCAGCCTTTTTGGGAGTGAAGATGTTTTTTTTTTTTTTTAAATGTTTGTTTCAGAAAATTTGATGAATTTAATACCATGGAATGCCATGCCAAGTGAAATTTTCATGAGGTTCCTCATGGACCATCTCAGATTTTATTGAAACTTTTTGATTTTGTACATATATTTTTCATAATGGCAGACTAAAGTTGATATTTTTGTTTTTGGGATTGAAATTTTTTCAAAAAAAGCTTAATCTTAAAAACTAGTTCAAAAATTAATACAAATCAAATTTGCCTGATAATTATGTAGCGGATAAATATTTAAAAAAATCAGTTGATTAAAGAGCTGCCTTCAAAAGTTATAAGTCATCAAAATGAGCCAGATCAAGATTTTTTTTGCAACGCAAAGCATCTGTTATCTAAGATGGCACTTTTTTTTCATAAAATTTCTTATACACATCAATTAAAAAGTGTTAATTAATAAAAAGCAAAAAAATTAATGGGCACTTATTTATAATCCCAAAAAATAATCTCTATAAGTCGGGTAAATTTTCCATTAAAAAAATCTGTTACAAAAAAATTTGGGAAAATAAATAATTGCATTGAATTAAGTAATGTTAGTTGTTATAAAATGATAATTTAAAAATTTTAATGTTTGTAACCTTATAACCTCAATAGGTAAAAACTTATAACCCCTATTTTTATAAGTTTTTTATTAAACTTATAAAAATTATTTTTTCAAATGAAAAACAAATAAAATGTTTTACAAATTGTAGTGATGAAAAAAAAATTACTAATGTTTTATATACAAAACATATTACACTAAGTTTTTAAGATATTTTTTATATATAACTTGAAATTTATTTTAGTTGAAATTTTTTTTAGTTATTTAGACAATAAAAAGTTTTCAAGACAATAAACAATGTTATTGAAATTCACAAAAAATTAAATTTCTTAAATAGTAAAGTAATCTCATTGATTTCTTTAATGTGGTAAACGCCCATTCAAAAAAATTCTGTTAAAATAATCAACACAATATTAAAACTACAACAAGTTCAGGCCTTGTGATGAATAAAAACTGCGCGACGCATAAACACGACGTGATTTTTGACGTTATTAAATTCTTTTTATTTGCTTTTCATATTTTTCGACATTAACTGCACCAATTTACTTAATTACCGCAAAACTACTTTAAATCATTAATCACGGCTGTTTCAAACCGAGCTTAACGGCTTCTTGTTATTTTTTGAAAATATTGACTAAAAGGGTGTTACTAAAACTTCTATAACTTTTAAAATAATCAAGATAATTTTGTTTTGTAAAAAGAATAATAACACCAATAAAATGTTTCATCTTATGACATTTAATGCATTAGTAAAAAAATTTCTTTAAGTTTAAAAAAAACGCGACAAATGATGACGTTGGCTGAATTCAAGTAATTTGATGTTACTTTTTATCAAAAAAAAATCAGAAAAATTTATTTCTGATAGTTAATCTCAAATATACCCATTGTTTGACTATTATAAAAACAAAAAAACCTTACTTAATTGTTTAAGGATAGCTAAAACAGACTTTAATGAGGTCTGAAAGCAAACCGCACTTTTCGCAAAGTTATGAAAAATGTAGTTAAAAGGGGGATTAGCTGTTAAAAGAGTACATTTTTAAACCTAGAAGTTCTTGTTTTAGAAACTTATTATCCTAAGCCAATAAGTTCATTGGATTGCAATAAAAAGCCAGATTTCGATTTCGGAATATTTAGTCAAAACATTTAAAGCTAAAGCATTTATTTTTTTTTGTGCATACAGTTCTAATAATATGGTGTTAAGTTGTTAATAAATAAAGACTCACCAAGTCTAATAAAATAATTCATGACCAAATTTGAGTTTCAGTTTTTGAATTAACCTCGCTTTTGGTAGTAGAATTATTTTATAGCACTTGAATCTATAGTCTCTTCTCTCAGTAAATAAAGTGTTTGAATATACAAATAGCTAATTGAAATCTTTTGAAAATTTGTTTTTATTCCCATTAAAAACTGTTTTATAATCAGTTGGTTTACTGATAGGTTCTTTAAGAAGTAAACTATCTTTGTACATACAATTGATATCAGATTCATACTCATGCTAAACCAGAAAAACAATTGCTCCACTCAAAATTTTGAGAACGTTTATAAATTCTTAATTTATTGAACTAAATTTTTACACCAACTTGATTTATATTCCATTCTTTAACCAGCGAGGAGGTATGTAAAGCAGAGGTACTGCAAAGGTAGAACTAACTTCTGGTGATAAACATCGAATGGATATGTAATATATCTATAAAAAAATGTTACATATAATGAAGAACAATACATCTTTTAAATCAAATACACAAACATAACAGGTCATACCCAACCAACATACTAGTTGCTCTGATCACAAGTTAATATATAAAAGCTAGATTTTTACATACATTTGATGCAAGACTAGTATTCCATTCTTTAACCTGAGCGAAGGTATTGCATAGGTATAAATAACTTCTGAAGCTAGGAACAGAATGGGCACCTACCTAATATATAAAATCAATATATTAAAAAATAATATTTTAAACTAACATCACACAGATATTAGAACAAAATAAAATTATCTTATATACAAATTAAAGATCTCATATAATTTATCTTACTTTTTAATTTTTTTTTGTTGTTGTTGTTTTTGATTTTTTAAATATTTCAACTAAATTTGATGACCACAAACAAGACAAAGACCTTGTCTATAAAATGAATTTTCGCCACGCTCAGAACACACAACACACTTTCTCACCTTAGAGGCTTGAAGCTTCCTATCAGCTTTGCTGTGCAATTCAAAGCGTTTTAAAACAAGATGCAGCTTTTGCTCCTGATTTCTTACTGAATGCAACTGTCTTAATTCCTTATTTACGCTATTATGCAAACACTCTCCCTCCTCTTCACTCAGCAACCCAATAGTTTTATGCAATTTTACAAATAGTGGCACATTAAAAATGAGTTCATGCATTTTTCGCGTGATACTTTCTTTTGGAAAGCAATCATGAAATTTGATAGCAAATAAATTTATATATTGATGAAGCTCAGTAATTTCGGCATCTGAAAGAAATTTTCGCTTAAATAGAATAGGTTGCAACTTATTAAAAACACTAAACACACGTACAAATCTATTTTTAATAGCTTCATCATCAATAACACTACAAAGTTTATAGTGGTTTCTTAAGACTATTTTGCAATGATTACCTACGAACACATTACCGTGGTACGCTTGTCGCTCAACCTTCATATCTTCAAGGGCCTTATTAAGAGACCTCTCATGAGTCCCCATGCTACTTTTGGATATTTTTTCTAGGTCTTCACACTCCACCTGCAATTTAATATATTCAGTGTCTAAAACTTCGCGTTGTGCACGTATAAAAGAAATTTTTTCAGAAATATAAAGGTCAAGACATTCTATATCTTCACCCTGACATGCTAAACACTCATACTTCTCAATGTCACACAGTACACTCTTTTCCGAATCACCAATAATTTCACAAAATTGATGAAACAATTTTTGGCACGTACCACACTGCACCCAATCAATGTTACAATCGTATTTTGTAATTAAACACCTAATACTATCACACATTTCTTGCTGTTTAAAGGTTATTTTTTTATTGGAGGAGTTTAGAGATAATTCAGAAATATTTTTATTAAAAGCTAACCAACGCGCCTGTAGATTTGCAACGTCTACAAATTGATTTCCTAATAAACGTAAAGCTTCTGCTGTTTTAGAACATTCAACGCTTTTAGCAGCCCACAATTCATTCGATCTCACATTCTCATTATGCGACAAAGACGAAACAGCTTGACAATCTAAAGTCTTACACTCCTTCAACAATAACTTATACAGTTTTAACACAACTCCTAACATAATATGCAAAACAGGTGGCACTACATTATCTAAAGTTATTATGGGGAAAATCACAGGAGCAATAATTGAATTATGAAACTTACCTAAAGTTCTTAGGTTTCCACCTTGTCTATTTTCACACAAGTTCTCATTGTAAGCACTTTCCAGAGATTGTATTGTCCTCCTTAAGATGTTACAATTAGCAGGTGTGTGAGGCATAGAAGCATGGTTTCTTAGAGAATTCAACTTAACTAGGTCTGTAGAACTAGGAAAGCTAGCAGCTGAACCCTGGTGTCCCAGAACATCATCAATAAAATGAAAATCTCCACCTAAGAACAACCTGACTATTTTGCCATTTAGCTTAAAACCTGACGACTGAATTCTTTTAATGTCGTTGGCAAAATGCCCGAGAACTAAGGCTATATTCTCACGACAGTCTGAACCCTGATACATACAAAACAAGTGAACATCGTATACAGACCCTGATGATTTAGAATTGACAACTTCAAAATGGAATTTCATATATTTCCCACCCTTATCACCAGCAAAAAGGAGCCATACTTCTTCGCCAAAACCGACATCCGAATTAAGGTGGTCGCGTACATAAAGATTAGTAAAAACCTCTTCAATATAAGTTGTCAAATTCTTGACCATCAGTACAGATACTAAACAAGGTGCTTCATTCGCAGATGGATAAAGTAACATGGACTTCACAGTGACATGTTCTTTATTGACATGCATTGTCCGCATTTCTTGTTCTTGTCTCATCTTGGGCTCAGATGGGAGAATCCTTGCACCAAGATTACACAGAATACGTCTTAGTCTACGGAATTCAGCCGTGGGCATCCTTAATTGGCTCTGTAGCTCTACAGCATCAGAAACACTTAACTGCTTAACTAAACCCAACTTATTTGCAACACAACAAAATACTGACTTTTCACAAGACATAGAATCACAAAACAACATAGACAAATCACTTTCTAAATCTGAACAAGCTAATAATCGAAGGAATATAAAAGCAAGTTTAGATCGTTTAGCTGCAGCATGCCTACCTAACTTAGAATAAGGTTTACCATTTCCTAACTTAATTTAAGTATATTTTTTACTAACTATTGGCTTTTTAATTGATATATTCTGTGGATTACTTAATTTAAACCCACAAAATAATTCAGAGGAACCAATGTTGTCGTAGTCTAAATAAGAATCAACCACAACTAAATCCTTATTGCAACTAGCAAAACATTTGCAAATTTGGCAACTGTTCTGGCTTAAATCACTAATTTTTGCAATTCTTTTTTCAATAATAATTTTTTTTAGCAATCTTACATTTTTGGCACGAGCAGATGCAAATTTACGCTGTGCTGTTTTAATTTTTTTTTTTTTAAAGTTGGAACTGCTCCTCCTGTTTTAGCCTAATACTCATAGTCTCTAATTGAGAACTTAATGAGTTACAATGTGTGTTGAGAGCCCTATTTTTAGAATTTAAATCTGTAATTTCAGCTTCCAACTTAAATACTTGCATTTTAAATTTTTCTATTTGCTCCATATTTGTTTTATTTTCAGAAGCTAATTGATCAATTTGGTTCAGTAGCTCCTGACTGTTATTTAAAGTGAAAAAGTCATCTGCATCTGCTGATTTTTTTTTTTTGGGTGGAGCTTGCGACAGTTGCATTTTAAAAAATTCTTCGTTTTTTATAGCTTTAAAATTTTTTTTATATTTCTTTTTTTGTCGTGTTAACTTTAGGCACATTTTATCAAACTCGTCATTACTAGGCATATCAAAATCAATTGGCAAAAGAAAACTCATAAAACTAAATAAATCACTTCTTATTTTAAAGACTGTCATTAAAATGGAAATGACATTGTTACTGATCTTATCTGTCCTAATTAATCGCTTAACAAAAGGAAAGTTACACCTATCTTCCCAACCATTTTTCCATCCAATATGTTGTTTTAGAATTTCCCTCTCAGTTGAATACATAGTTATCAAAATAATATTGACTTATTAATCAATATAATAAAAACAAATAAAATAATATTAATTAACAAATATATGCACAAGATAAAAGTGGATTTAACAACTTATCTGATATTAGTTTGATAATCCAAAAAGAAAAATTCCGCGTAACTTTGTTTACTTTATACTTCAAAAATTGACTCGCCGAAACAGTTGTTTGGAGAATATTCGTTAATAAATAGTTTGGGACGTAACGCATAAAGGTTACGTCATCGCAAAAAAATTGTCAACACAAATGTACGCCTAAAACTAACAAGATTAGTTGTAAAACATGACATTTTTGAAAACATATTTCATAACATAGCTGAAGGCAAGTAAAATAATTTTTTTATTTTCATTTGCATAAAAGGTTGAAATTTCATTAACTTACGTCATCCATCAAAAAATTTATGTTTTGCATTTAAAAACGATTAATTAAAAAATATAAATGCTTTAAAAACAGTCTTTTTGTAAAAAAATCTCTAGGATGACGCAGGAATCTGATAGAATGGGCATTTAGGGTTAAGCATTCCAAATTTCAACTATCAAACACTGAGCTATGTTATGAAATCTTAGTTGGCCCAACTCATGTTTTGCGGAAAATATGCGAAAATTAGAAAAGTGGTTCTAAATTATTAAAAATATTTTGGCAATATTTATTTTTATACCAATTAATGTAAATATTTATTTAACAAGGAAAGATAGATCTTTTATATTTTTTTTAAATGCAAGATGAAAGCATTTATATAAAAAAGTTACTATTAATTTAAAGTTTGTGAATTTTTATACTTTTTATGCGGAAATACTTTTTTTTTTGATAAACTCATGACGTCACGCTCGTTTTTATATTGAGTGAAACAGCCGTGTAATGTAGAAATGTTATTATTTAAAAATGTTTTGGAATGTTTCGTTTTTTAAAATGTAAAAACATTTGCTTATTTTCTCGACGTTTGACACGTTTTGTCTATACTAAACGAATAAAAAACATTTAACTAAAATTTAAAAAAGATTATAAAATATGCTAATATTTGATTTTTTTTTCTCAAATGTGTAATTTAAAGTTTTTCAAATAATTATTTTTTCTTTTTAAAAAGTCAGCGAGTAATAAACTGGAAATTTTAATATTGTACAATTAAAAACTGTGCAATAGCTAATATTTTTACCAGCGATTTTATATTTTTATTTATTTATTTTTATTTATTTTTATAAGGCGATTGATAAGCACAATCACTTGTATTAATAAAAAACTTAAACGAACGTTTTGAATAGATTTTTAATGTTAACAAGGAATTTTATTTCTAGTAAAATAAAATAAAATGTTAGAATAAAAATCTTATAGGTATAAAAGAAATATTTCAGTGAAAAAATTATTCTAAAAAGTTATTATTAAATATTATTTGAAAAACTATTGACGTTCTATTTTTCAGCAGCTGTTCTTGAGCACGCTTCGTTGAGTTTCGGTAACTTTTAACATAAAAGCGATTGTTATTATTTAAGTATTTTTTTTTAGTTACTTTTTACAAAAATTTTAATAACTGTACTTTTTTATTGAATCAAGTAGAATAGGTTTTAATATTAATCCTTTTATTTATTTTTATTTGCACTCACCAATTTTTAAAATGTTTCCTCGAAATTACTCTTAAATACTTTAAATACGTCTAACATTTAAATACGTCTAAATATTTTTAAATCTATGGAATAATTTTAAAACCTAACAAACCCCCGTAAAATAATTATTTAAGTTTAAAATTTAAAACTAAAAGAAAGTATTTTTGTTCAATTTTATCGACAACTTTGCTATTGCTGAATAATTTTATCAAAATGTTAGCTTAAAAGATTTAAACTTTGTTTTTAATCTGAATTTTTTCTACTTGTTAATAATGAGCATATTTAATTTTTTTCAATTCAAACTTTTATATCAACTGCGTGCAGTTTTTAAAATACTTTATTAAATGTTAAAAGAATCGTAAATTACTTCATTAAAATTCCGCTCAAAAATGTCTTTAAATATACTCAAACAAAAAATTTTTTGCTAGACACAAATAGCCCTAGCTACACGCAAAATCGCTCTTGGACGACGTAAAATTCACATCGCCCGATGCTTTATCGCAAGGCCTGCAAGTTACAACAAGTATGCTAATTTTTTTTTTTAATTAACCCAGTTAGCAATAGTACATGGGTCATATATCGGATCCATGTGGGCTATTTTATGGGCCCTATGTAGGAACACAATCTGAGACCCATAAAATTTTGTCCGCGGTTTATCAATGGGTCCTATGTAGGCTAGACTATATAGTTAGCCCATATTGGACCCAACAAACTCCTATGTTTTTATTTATTTTTCTTTAGAAGGATTTTGATGGTTCGTCCATATTGGACCAAACAAACTCCCATTTTCTTTTATTTACTTTGATCCATAAAGAAATTTTTATGGTTGGCCCATATTGGACCTAATAAAATCATATTTTTGTATTACCTTTGACCTATATAGAACTTTTCATAGTTATCCCATATTGGACTCAATAAACTCTTTTTTTGGGGGGCACCTATATGGATCTTTAGATTAGTTATTCCATATTGGAATCAATAAACTACTTTGTTCTTTTGTTTAACGTAACCTATTTAACGTAACGTAACCTACTTTTGAAAATAAGCCAAGTATTGGACCCAACTAACTAATCTCTTATGTGTCTCATATATATATTTTTAGATAAAAACAATAAACAATATGCTGAGTATAATATATATTTCCTATTAATGTAAATATTATATTATATAAAGAAATGTTTAACAAAATTAAAGCTTGTTCGGTTGTTTTCTTGCTTTGCAACGCTTAGCTCTATTGTCATCTCGATCGCGAGCTTCAATAAGCCATTTTGCAAGAGACAATTCAAAATCTTTCATATTACATGTCAACGTCAGGTTGTAAAAATAATACATATCCAATAGCTAATGAATCTTAAATACACAATCTTATTATATGCTTTGAAAATCTACACCATAAGGTTTCTTACTAAACATAAGAATAGAGCGAACAATTTTAATAATGACCAAAAAAATTTACTCAATGTGTTCATTTGTATTTAATAGCTAAAAAATTGCAGAGAAATATGACCAAAGTTTATTTAAAACTAAGGATACTCATTATAAATTA